GGACGTTCATGCGCCGCAGACCAAATGGCTAGGGGCCGGGCAACCTCTTGTGGCAGTGGCAGACAGGTGTGAGGTGCCGGCTTGCAATGAGGCAGAAAGAGGGCCGGGCATTTCGGCATTTCCTTGTTAATCCGTACACATCCATTGAGCACTTCCGGCACGTGTCTCTCGTGTTAGAGTAGGCTCCGGCCGAGGGCGCTGAGGGATTGGCCAGCTTTGCTCCTCCAGCATTCAGACATCAGGCCTCTGCTCTGGTAACGCTCCTCTCTTTCGTGCTCGTGGGCTGTCCTCAGCCGTCGGGCCGGAGGTCCTCTCCCCTATGGAGCGTGGCATTTCTTCTCTTGCATGGTGGGAGCGTTCTCATGTTGACGACTGCGCAGCCACAGTTGGACCGCAAGCCGCAAGCGTTGTGTTTTGCTGGTTCATTGTAGTGCTAGCTTTCGCGCGGCTGGCGCGCAAAACCTGCAAAACAGTCTTCTACTGTGCGCTTAATCGAGCCGCTAGGGACTCCGGGACGGAGCGTCTTTATGTTTCAGGTTTTTAGGTTTCTCTTCGCTTTGTGGGTTGTTAGGCTTTGCGAATATACCGTTCCGAAAGCGCGGTGTAGAAGTGAAACCTAGTCGTCGGGGCCTGGTCTGGCCGTCCTCTTTTTGTGCCGAAATTGTGCTGCAGCGTTGGAGACCGCGCTATCCCTCAGCTAATCTCCCAATCCGATGCCGTGCCCCAAACCAAGGTGCGTGAATTCGGGGGGCCAGTGTACGAATCGGTTTGTGCATGAATCTACCACGTCAGCGTGCCAGTGCACTGTGCGCGAATCCACGGCCAGACTTCGCAATTCCACTGCTCGTCCAGTGTGCGAATCGGTTTTCAACAGCTAGGCTGAGCAGCAAATCTTGGGGGGTTCGGCTGAGAACCGAGGTTCCTCCACTGAGGAGCTTGTCGAAGGAAGCGGAGCATGCGGCACTTTACTGCGCCTGGGACTTTTGAGATATAGGCGCCGCTGAGAGGCGCCGCGAGTGAGTTTCGCGCAAAGCGGCAAAGCGCAAGCATGCGCAAGCCCCAAGCTGCCCTCAGCTGCAACAGTGAGGCTTCGAGGAGCAGACCTTCGCCTTAAACCACATCTTCTTCCAAGAGGGTGGGGCAGGAGAGGAAGAATTTCACCTGCGAGAGCGCGCGAGCAGTCAAAAACACACTGCTTTCAGGAGACGGCTCCATTTACTTCATTCGCAGTGGCGCCGTGGAGCTTCTGTGCCGAGAAGGGCCCGCCCACAAGCAGGCCGCGACGGGAGTCTGGGAACTCCGTGAATTTTAAGCCATATGGGGTTTATGATATCAGGGCTCCAAAAGTGGGGTCCTTTTTACAAGGGGATCCTGCTATTTGAGGGTCTATACTAGGGGCAGTCCCCTACTTTCGTAAACTGGAAGTGAGGCAGTGCAGCGGGCCGGGCTCCACCGGATTTGCCTTCTCCAGGAGTCTTGGGTTTTCTATGGCACAGCGCTCACATGACTCATGCATATTCACGCATCTGACGTATCTCCTCTGCCTTGTTGATCCAGTGGCGCTGGCAGGAGGGGGCTTGCTTTGCATCGTCCTTTACCAAAGTCGCGGAGGAATTCACCGCAGCTGTGGCGTCCACACCCTGCAAGGCACGGGTAGCACATGCTTCTTGATAACACGGCTTCGCGCGCATTACCTCTCAATTTGATGCTTAGCTAAATTGTTTCAGCCCCATCGCTGGGAGACAACAGCCTTCAAAATACCCAAAGGCCAAGGCATAGCACAAAGTCCAAAGAAGGGTCTTTGGGAGACATCCGAGGGCTCATGCAGCAGTTGCTCCGTGCAGCGCAGCCAGCTGCAGAGCAGAAAGCCCCCGAAGACCACCGGCATGGATATGTGGAGCACCAGGCAAGGCGCAGGGCGCTTACCGAATCCGTGAGGTGCCTCGGACATCACGAGGGCGTTCTTTCGCACGTGGTGCCACCTAAGCGAAGCATTTGTTCATGAGGTTTTGTCACACAAAACATGTTTTTCAACAAGCCAAAGTTCTTTCTACGTCGCGAACAGCACGTGCCGATGCTGGCGAGCACTTGCAGACACAGTCACTTGCAGCTCGCCACGACGGTCCAGTCGCGATGTAAGAATGGAATACCCTCGCATCGGTGTCGCAGAATGTTGCCGAGCTCGTGTGGCATCCATTGTTTTCCATCCGCTGTGGCGAACCAATCGGTCGCTCGGATTCTTGCTTGGGGTTTTGCGGCCAGTAGCTGAAGAGCATGTTGGATCAATGCTGAGCGGCACATGTTCTGCATGAACGTTGTGATCGCTAGGCTCAGTCTGGTTGAAATATGTTGCAATCTGCATGGCTTTCTGTTCGACCACGTGCGTTGCCGAGAGGTGTATCGAGTCCGCCGGGCAAAGATGCGGCATTTGCCCTACTCGTTTCGGCAAAGATTCGAGTCATTTGTGGAGAACGTCATGAGCAGCCGTCTTCACCTTTGCAAAGGCAACCTCAGCATTCAGTGAATTCAGTGCGGCGAATTCGTCTGCATGCGGATGGCCATGTGCCCCAGGGCATGGCGTTTTGATGCATTTTGGAAGGTGTTCCGCCTAAGCATCCGCTGGTGTTGGCCATCCTAGACCCGCCCAAGAAGCGGCCGCAGCCGCCAAGCAGCGTGCTGGAGAAGAGCTCCCGGCCGTTGCTGGGCACCTCGCCTCAGCATACTACGCACTGTTTCGCACCCTGACGTGTCCAAGCCAAGGCAAGATGCGCAGCCTCAAGGTCCAAAGCATCTGGGCTCAATGATCTCAGAGTCCGAAAGGTCGGTCGGGGACGGTGATCTTATGTGATATTTATTGATACACCGCATTGCAGCGCCACTTCTGAGCCAAGCTTCAGCAAAGGTTTGCCGGACCTTCATGGGACACTCCCTGGAAGGTGCTTCAAATTGCACATTGCAAATGCTTTAAGCAAAGCATTGAGCAGTGCTTTGGTCGTGCTGTGTGCCAGCTGTACATGCAAGGGCAAAGAAGAAGGGCGCTTCGCAAGCGAACCTCGCTCCAAATGGTTCGACCTGGATTGTTCCTCTAGAGAGAGCTTGAAGCCAGCTGCACGCTACACCTGTCCATTTCATTTGATGTTTCACACATTGTCGGCCTTTAACACTTGATGGGGGTCTCTGTGTGGTTCGCGATTTGGTTTGCGACGGTTATTGCAACAATCTGAGGAACGCGTTCTTACCCGTCGTGGAATTGCATCGCAAGGAGGCTGACCTTCGGCCAGTTGAGGTGGGAAGTCGGACGCCTCCGTGAGGGTTGCAGATGTTGCAGGCATGTGCCGGCATTTGAAGGCTTTTGCCGGCGTTTGCAAGCAAGCATTTGCAGCCTGTAAACGTGTGTAAACTACTGCAAACACGAGTTGCATGAGGTGAGAAGCCGCGGGATGCTAAGCGCTGGCGACATGCACGAGTTGCTCGGCACCAATGTATATTTCACGAGACACGGTGCCGAGTCACAGCAGTTGGATAGTGTCAGCCGTAGTGCACTTCATAACTGTTGCCAAGGCTCTGGCGATGTGTGGGGTTGACTTGCGCCCCACCTTCTGGAATGTGGCCACGCAGAAGACTAGCTTACTGCCTTACTACGCGCCCAGACTTCCAGACCATTGTCAGCATTTAGGTGGAGCCATCCTTCAGTAGCAATGATGGGGGCCTCAATGTGCATTTGTTTTCCGTGCAAACAGGGAAGCCCAGTGGCGTCAAGTCGAGACTTGCTTGCACAGTTAGTGCAGGCTCCATGGTTCGCTGGTTCGCGTTAGCTTCCCACCAGTCCTGAACCCATTGCCGCCCAGCTGAGCAGAGGCCCAGACCTGTGCCACTCCGTTCTCACCGATTCCTCATGACAGCGTGGAGCTTGTAACGTTTGTCCTAGACAAATTTGTTGCGATGTGATGTGGGCCGCTCCTGGCCCAGAACATGGTGCCTTACAGGAGTGTTGCTAGAGGTTTCCGACCAATAAACAATGACTTGCTCAAGCCTTGTCAAGATAGTATTAGCTCCTACTCTTGTTTGGGCAGCCATTGTCACTAGCCCGTGTTCACCGATGCTTGAAAGTTGAAGTCTTTGCATGCTAGGCTGTTTGGGGATTGGGATGCAGGGTCTTGTGCGTTCGATTTGGAAGACGTCGGCTTCCAAGCATCACATGCCAGCAGAGGATCTGGTGAATCCAGTGTTGAGTGGTTGGAGTGCTTGTGGAGGTTCAGGTTATGAGTTATGAGTGATTGGTTGCTCGACTGCTTCTAGCTTGCCTTTCTTGCACGGTGCATGGCTGTACAGGCACAAACCGTCGCGATGTGGCTACGGCAACAAGTGCGTGCTTACTGCGTGCTTACATGACATGTTTCATCATGCCTCGAAGCGTTGCTTGCCCTTCTTTCGCATGCGGCTTGGCGCTGCTTTGCAGTGGAGATCACTGCTCAGATCGTTCACCTCGTTCCAGACTGTTCGTAGCCAGCAACAGGCAGCATTTGTTCCCAGGTTAAGCGTGGATTCCTGTTTTGAGGGTTTCGATTTCCAGTGGCGAAGCAAATCCGATCAGCCCTCCGTCGTGGCTTCATTTGTGGAGCAGGGATGGGGCCATGCTTGACTTCGGGGGTTGCAAGTGCTCGTGTCGCAACAGCAGTCCCTGCTATGCCACAGAAGGATGTTGGTAATGCTGATGGTTGCACCAGTGTTGCATGTCGTTTTTCGTGTCATGGGCCTTTCTCTGAGGCAACCAGGCTCTGCTGGAGGATGCCGGAGCTCTCACTCGTGACCTCCTTGCACGCGCAGCGGAAGCAAGGAAAAACGAATGAAGTGAGTGATGAGTGCCCAAAGTGTCCGGCAAACAGCTCTCATGAGAGTGGCAAAAAATGGTTTTGGTGATTTCTGGAGTATCAACTTAGAATGTTGTTCCTGGGCACCAGCATATTTGCTGCCTTGTATCGGCCATTGGTTCTTCTGAGGTCCAGGAGCTCCAGCAGGGCCTCGCATCAGCGTCGCCCGGCGGCATGTGGGATATGTGGGATGGGCACCGTCGGCACTGGCAGATCAGCCTAGGGTTTTGGGGCAAAAGGGTTTAGCCTTTAGGGTAATTAGGGTCTCAGAAGCTCGTCTCAGGAAGAAATCCTTCTCTGCGGTGCAGGACTTTGATGTGCAGGGTCCATGTGCCAAAGCCATGTACTAAAGACTTGTAGCGCAGGGGGAGCCTTGGAAACATGCAGGCTCCGACATTTTTGCTGCGCCCGGCACGTGAAAGCCCGTTTGCCAGGAGCTGCAGCAGGAGGCACATGCCGCAACTGTAAGAGCTCCCAGGGCTGCATATTCATATGAAAGATGCAGAAGCTGAGCAGATTGGATCTGAGAAGGGGGCACGCGGGATGCCAACAGACCAAAGCCCGGTTTGATTCGCGGGCGTTGACGGCCTGTTGTCTTCGGTCAGGTTGCGCAGCTCAGAAATCAATCTGTCAGGGCCCGAGATGAGATGAAGATGTGGTTCTAGTCTCCTGTAAGGGTGTAAGACTCCCGTAAGTCATTCTCTCCGCAGGACGGCCTCAGCCCGAAGTCCTCAGACTCTGCGGCACCTTCGCTCAGCTTCTTACATTTTTTTTTGCGGCGTTGGTCACTCTGCACCTCGACGCGGCTCCAAGGGCTCGTCTCGAAGAGGCGTGTCCTTTCGACCCAGAGAAAGTGCCATGGGCTTAGAGCGAGTTTGAGCCTTCCGGCATGCACCTGCGGGGTAGCTGCTGCAGAAATGACGCATGCCTTGCGCGTCTCGGATTTCGGGAATGCCCATCGCACGGGGGCGTAATGGGGAGGGACCGTGGGAGCCGCTTCACGTCGAAGTCCGCTCTAAGCACGCCAGGCTCGGGAGGTGTTTGCAGGAAGGTCTTGGGATGAGGCGTTGTTGAATCGAGGTGAGGGAAGTGGAGTTACGAAGAACTTGGTGAGGCTAATGCAGAGGTTCTGAGGTGAGGACGTAGGCGCAACGGAGAGATGACGAAGTCAAGCTTCTCGATAGGGTTCCACTTTGTTGCGTTTGAATTTTGCTAGGGTTGAAGGGGGTCCTAAAACCTAACCTCCAGCTGGATGGGCACATTCTTGGCTGGAAGAAGAGGAGGGGGAGAGACGAGAGTGGCAGAGATGACCCTGCAGAAGACGAGTGAGGTGGTCGAGATTGATGGCCGGGGGTCCCTCGGGAACTTCACAAATGGTGCTGCGCCAGGCAGGATTCCTACTTGGAAGTAGCAGGTACTGGATACTGTAGCCGTTTAGCATCTCAGCAACAGCTGTTCTTGATTCTTCAGAGCGCGCTCTGGGGTGCCCTTTACTCAGCCGACTCAGCCCATGGGCTTAAGCCTGCTTGATCAGGAGAAAGCCAGGCACCAAGAATCTCGGATGAAATTAGCTGCAAGCTGAGCAGAGTAGATAGCCTGCTTGCAGCCTGCATGCTTGCATTTGCTCGTCGTGCTCCCACTACGCAGACCGCCGAGATCCGCCGAGGAAAAGTCAAGTCTCGCAAGCCAACGGCGTTCGCTCCAGCGCCGCCGGCCAGTGGGGTCTTGCCCTCGGAATGCTCGAATGAGCGCGCAGATGGCAGATGCAGCGACGAGCTTGTCGACTCGAGCTGATTGATGCCTCGGCGCTTCCTGCTGTCTCTGAATGAGCGCCATGTTTGGTGAAGCGATGGCTGATGCTTGCTGATGCTTGCTGATGCTCAGGTGGGCTTCGAAGGCGAAGAAGATGTTGAGGAGGTGGAGGTCGACCAGACGCCCAAACGAAAGGTCCACGGCCGCCAAGCCACGGCCTTTGCCCCTAAGAGGGCTGCGGATGTCCCGGGCCTATCCTTCCAAGCCATTGTCGTCGCTTTGTGCAAGTTTATGTGATTTTATGTGGACCATTGTGGGGGCGTTGTGGGGCTATTGAGTCATTGTGGGGGCATGTAGGTTGACTTCGATGATGATGCAGAAGAGGTGGATGTGGAGGAGGACTGCAAGGTTTCAAGCTGACAAAAACATAGACGACCCTTGAGACCCAGCATGGAAATCTCCTTCGCTCGCTTCTCTATACCGTTGTATCCCGGCTACCTTGCAAAAAGACATAGTTTCTCCGTCCCGACTCCGCCCTAGCTCAACTCCCGAAGGACACGGGCGGCCCAAAGCGCTCCGTACATGGGCGCCAGGCCACGGCCTTCGTGCCACGGCGGGCGGCCGCAAGCGCCCGAGGCCAAGAGGCGAAGATCTCTCAGACTCGAGGTTCCAGGTTCTGGAAGTTTTGTCTTTGGTCTTTCTGTCCACTCTGTCAACTCCTAACCGAGGTAGAATTTGAAGACGACGCGGAAGATGTCGAAGAAGTCGAAGTGGATAAGACGCCGAAACGAAAGGTGCATGGACGCCAGCCTACGGCGTTTGTGCCAAAGGCAAAAGCCAGCGCTGGCGCCAGGGCCTCAGCTGTGGCTGCGGGGGCTGCTCGAGCTGCTAGAGCCGCAAGACAATTCGAGGCAATTCTAGGGTACTCATTTTCGAGGTCAACTTCGAGAATGACGTAGAAGAAGTCGACGGGGATGACGGCGACGATGACGACGGTGCACCCAAGAGAAATGTTCACGGGCGAAAGGCGACAGCTTTCGTGCCAAAAGGCAAGCCCATGGCTTCAGCCTGATGCCGAGTTGACCTGACATCCAAGTCTTGCCCAGGTCTTCCTGTGCAAGCTGTGCAAACTCCTGCCCTGCTGCTGAACTCAGGTGGAATTCGAAGACGAGGACGACGATGTTGACGAGGTTGAAGTTGATCAAACGCCCAAGCGATCCGTCCATGGACGCCAAGCCACAGCTTTTGTCAAGAAGGCCAAAGCGTCAACCGGACAGGCGGGGGTTCAGCCCATCCATAGCCAGTGCCTGGAAGGTCGGGAGTCCTTTCTTGCTCCAGGTTGCCTTCGAGGATGCTGCGGACGAGGTGGATGTGGAGGAGGATGGTGGACCAAAGAGGTCTGCACATGGGCGGAAAGCCACCGCGTTTGTTCCGAAGTCGAGGGCATCGCCTGGTGTCACTGCCCGAGCTTTCGGCTTTCTTTGCGGTGTGAGATGGCGCACAGCCCTGTTTAGCTAGCGAGATGCTGGCTGTCCGGCTTCAAGACGGTAGATTGCCCTCGGTCACATATAATGTTGCACCCGCAATATTCTAGTGGGACGCTATTATGAAAAGTTTTCCGGCTATCTGGTGGTCCGCTATACTGAAAAGTTTTCGGGCCGGGACTGTTTGTTTTAATGGTTTTGAGGTCCAAGTTCTTAGTTTGAAATACAACACTCAACCTCCTGACCCCTTCCCTGCCTGACTGTTTGGGGTCTTGTTTTATTCAGGGTCCTTGGTCTGTTGGGGGGGGGGGGGTGGAGGGGGGTGGTTACATTATTAAAGCAGGTCCAACATTACTGGAATCGTGTTGGGTTCCTTTGGACCCTTTGGAGCTCGCCACTCCCAGCACAGGGATCGTGCGCTGCTGACAAGAGAAAGTTGCGGTTGGTTTGGGCCGGACTCGCTGATTCCAGAAACGACCGTGCCTGGACATAAGGGACATGAGAGTTAAGGCATCGACAAGCGTGCATGGCCTACTCGGGGCCTCCTCACTCCGACCTAACGCTCTCTGAAAACTGACGCTGAGTTTTACTCCAGACCACCACAGCTCGCTATGGGCAGAGCTGACACATGACCGTGGGCCCACTCTGCATCGCACTTGTGGGCCATGAAGAGATGGCTTGTGCCATGGCAGAACAAACGGTGAAAGCTCGGGAGCCTCACAGCTGTCACCTGACTAGAAGGCCCGCTTTTGTCGGAACTTGCCATCGGGGCAGTGTGGGACCTGAGCTTGTGCACATCCGATGGCGCACCACTCGTACTTGTTGAGGACATTGTGAAGTTGTAGGCATTACACTCGAAACTGCCGTGAAAGTCAGCCGCACTCGCATGACAAGTTGCGCTGATAATTTCGGCACGTGTGGCTCCATGTGGCCGTTCTTGTCCGGCGAGCTGACGCCAAAGAAAGAACTACTACTTGGAATCCGGTTCCAGCAGACTAGCTCAGGTGAGCTTTCATGATGATGCGGAAGAGGTGGAGCTGGAAGCGGAAGAAGGACACTTTGGGAAGCAGTGGCAGCAGGTTTTCCTCAAAAGCTTCCTGAAAAGACTACCTTGGATCCCATAGGCTTGTCTACAGGAGATGGGCCAAGGCGGTCTGCTCACGGCCGGAAGGCTACAGCCTTCGTGCCCAAAGCAAAGGCGACAGCCGCCAGAGGCTCAGAATCCCGAAAGAACGGAGGACGTGCACATTGAAAGCCTGTGAACAGCTTACGATGAATTCACCTTTCGTGGTTGTTTAGACAACCTGGTTGTGGGCCATGGAGGTGAGCTTCGCAGCAGAGCAGGACCACCAGGACGAGCAGGAAGGCGATGAGCAAGTCGTCCACTCAGCGACGCCACTCCATGTCTTCGTGAACGGTGTTTTTTTTGTTTTTGCGATGTTTGTGCTCACGTTGTTCTGGAAAGGCTCTGAAGCGCTCCCCAAAGAAGAGGCAAGGAACCGCCTTCGTTCCAAAGCTGCCCCTGGCGGGCAGCTCAGAATGAAGGCATTGTAAGGCATTTTAAGACTGTAAGAAGGTCTCAGAAGGCCCGCCCATCGCACCCTGACGTATGGCTTCCTTGAGGCGCAGGACGATGACGAGGATTCGTCCCCCAACAAGCGGGAGGCCACACCAAAGACGAATGTCGCGCTGGCGTGAATGTTGCCGTGTTGCTTCACGCGCCTACACCGGGTCCTTGTGTTCGGATGGCCTTGGCAGCTAGGACCAGCTAGGATTGGTGTGGAAGGATGAGTGTGTATTCTCTGCAAACGCCAGTCCAGAGACTACACGCTCCAGCACATGGGTGGGCGGGCTAATCTTTAACCGGCTACTGGAAAACACACATGCCCTAGAATAAGCACAACGAATTCAGCAACACCGAAAAGGAAGCCGGTGCCGGCTTCTGCAGAGGTCCGCTTCCGGGGAAACGACAGTGTCAACGAGACACACGAGGATGCTGAGTCCGGTCAGGCCGGGTTAGAGCCGTGCTGACGATGTTGTGTGTGGCTTTTGCATGGCTTCGCGCGCCTTCTCTTTGGATGCGCACGCTCACCGCTCACTGCAGATACATGCGATGGTACGGAAGCGGGTGCCCACGAAATTTATCGACGTGAAGGACGGGGATCTTGATGATTGACGAGCATTTGCGTTGTGGGGGTGTTCGCTGTCGTGCACCTGCTCCAAGGAATCAGCTCAGGACGAGGATGAGGAGGACACTCACGCGCATGTGAGGTTCGCAGATGAAGTGTCAGAGCCCACGCCCTACACCAGGCAGCACGTTAGCTGCGCAAGGTGTTTGTAGCTTTGTGGCAATCCCCCCTAGCCCAAAGGTCCGATGACGATGACGATGGGACTGACAGTGTCAGCACGGCCCCCACGCTGCGCAGCCCAGCCTCGTTTGCACTGCGGGGATACGTCTGGGTCCTAGTCTCCCACATGTGCGGACCTGCCAGGCAAAGCCCGAGCGCGGGTGGTGCACTCGGAACAGCCCGTCAGTCGCACCAGGCAGGAGATGCATACGAGAGTTGGACAGCTTCATTTCAGTGAGGTACCCACAGCCTTCGCGAAGGAACATGATGCGCTGGCATGTTTACCTTGTACTTCAGCTCGTGGATGGCCTTTGTCAGATGAGCCCCGTTACAGACATGTGCAGTACAAGCCGGTTTAGTTGCAATTCATCGTTTGTATTGCTAGTCTATCACAGTGGCCCCACGAGGGCCACATGGTTCACACTGTGCTTGAGACTCCCTCAGTGCCGTGCCTTTCGAATTGTCAGCCCTTTTTGCTTGCCGACGCCGCTGCCAGGCCCAAGCAAGGAGTCTGGCTGCATGTCAGGGTTAGAGACATGTACATGGGACGTACTGCTGCTTGCAACCCAAGAACCAATCCATGATATGCGAGTGCAGAGGGACCAGATACACAGCACCGCCCCGTGCCTCAAAGCACAAACAGCACTAGCGTGCTTGACATGTGAAGCCCGGATGGCCACACTAGCTGCGTGGCACGGCGCCAGAATATGGTCCACGCCCCAGACTGCCATGATTTCTATGAGCGCGTCTCAGTGCAACCTGCATGGCCTCCTAAATTTCCTAGGAAGGCCATTTTGTCCACATTGCAGGCAGCGGGCAAAAGCGCGACGTCGAAGTTGGAGACTCAGGTGATCGCCGTACCGAGGCGTTGCAAGGGGGAGCCCTTTGATAGAGGTCAGTCCTATTAACGCATCCTGGCAGGGTCAGAACTGTCGCTTTTTCAGTTGTTATTTCGCTCAGGAGATTCGGAGATTCGTTCACAATCCTTTTGGTGATGTTGATATCACAACGAGATCATCACTTTTCTCGCAGCATCCCGAAAGAAAGTATTCACAGCATGCCTGCGCAGGCAATTTCTCCTCAAGAGTAGGAGGCACAAAGAGCAGGCCGTACTCGCATCCGATAGCCTTGGGTGCGATCTTACATACCCAGCCAGGAGCTGAGTTGTGCCGGCGTAGCATCGTTTGAGGCTTGTGGGCATGTTGAGATGCGGTACTCATGAGGTTGCAGTTTTATGATGAACTTGGCATCTGCGATGCTCCATGTGTTTCTGGTGGCGATTGTGCCGACCAGCGATTGTGCCACTTGATGCAAAGAACCTCGTGAGATGCACTCACCTCCTCCCCCCACCCCGCCCACCCCTCAAACATGCAGTGGAGCCTGAGGCCACGGTTGCAGTGACTCCGCAGGTGGGGGAAGACATGGGAGGACATGGCCATCTACATTTGGAGAGGTCGAGCTTCCACATGTGTTGCGATGTCAGGGCCAGCTGCTGCGGTCGGATGCCACTTTCGCCCAGCTGGTGGACCAGGAGGCAGTCACGAGGACGGCAGCAGCTTGCACGATGCTGACGCGCCTCTCTGTGCCTTTGCCTGCTTTGCATCTGCCCGACTTCAGGAAAGCCGTCATGGAGAGCGTGCAAGACAGGGCGTACCAGTATGTGTCGGCCCGTGAGCGGGAGAGCCGACCAAAAGCTCTTGCAATTGCAGCATTTGTTGTGCTCTGTCCCATCTTGCTGGCCATCCCACAGCTCCTGCTTGCGTTCAGAGTGGGCAGTGTCTTGGATCAACTTGGGCACAGCACTGCGGGACTCTCTTAGCAAACGCGCAGTTCCCAGATGTGCCCAGGCAAGCTGATGCGGATGGCGTGGCCAGCGGCTCCCGTGAAGGAGGAGTCCGCTTCAGTGGCACTTCCGAGGGTCACCCTCGGCGGGACGACTCTGCAGCTCAAGGAAGAGGTGACAGGGCTCCGGCAGGAGCCCTTCTTAGAGATTCTACTCTTGTCCGGCATCCTCATGGCTCTCTTTTGCGGGCTCTACTTCTGCATCGCCTGGATGGCTCTGGTGCCTGGCCCCTTTGTGCAGCAGCTCGGCTGCACAAACACGACTGCTTCTGTGGACGTGTCCCCGATGGTCGCCGAGACTCTTCGGACGTTTTGCTGGGGCCCGGCCCAGTGGGAAGGTATAACAAGGAGGGAAGCGGAGCTCCTCCTGACTGGCCTTGAGCGCAGCCTGGCGATGAACCAAGGTGCTGTGCTGGAGTTCGGCGTGGGCGTCGGTGAAACCACCCTGTGGGTGAGCCGTTTTCTGGATCTTTACGCCCAGGTCAGTGGTGAACCGAGGAGGCCACACCACGTCTACGACCCATTTAAAGGCCCTGACTTCCCCAAGCGCGATCGTATGGCCCGAGACAGGCCCTTCACAAACTTGTGGCGGAGTTGGCCTGGCAGAGTCGCGCAGGGGCTGGTGAGGACCCGAAGATGGCTGTTTGACTTCTTCTTGTGGAGCCACGGAGCCAAGATGCCACAGGTCTTCGAGGGGTACATGAAGCAAGTGCCGGAGGCAGCCTTGCCATCCAACATTGCCTTTGCCCTCGTGGATGCAGACAGCTATGCAGGGACCCTCCTGCCGTTGAGGCTGGCCTACCACAAGCTTGGCGGGCACAGTGAGATCTATGTGCATGCATTCCCGCAGCCGGCCTGCCCTGGTGTCCACGAGGCGGTGCAGCACTTCTTCAAGCAACAACCCAACCATGGAGTGTATAGCTGGGCTGGCCCCAAGAGTCAAGTCTCTTGGGCGGTGTTTGGCCCGCAACTGGCATACAATACCTCACACACACGGATGGCCAAGCTGGGCTGGAAGTGGAGCCCGCTTGAGGGATGAGTGTTGCCCATTGTTGTTCGAAGCATGAAGAGTGTGAGACTGGGTGCAGTGCGAACAAGTGAACAAGTTCATTCTTCCCTCCTCCGCTCGTTTTTTTCTTCTCGCCTAAGCTAAGGATGGCCCGAACAGTGCGCGCGCCGGACCTGAAGCAGGGCGCCTGGAGATATTTGCGGAAGTTGTAAAGCTTTGGAAGGAACCTTGCCGACACCTCTCAGGGCCGTCCTCAATGTACAGTTCCAGTCGAAGAAGCGAATGGAGGGCAGAGTGAGGTGGGGCCAATGGCAGTGGGCTCTGCATGTCCTGAGAGCACCTGTAGGACCTTGCAGGGGAGAGCCAAGGCCCCTTTCATCTGCCTTCTGTGCTTTTTCTGGGGCCATGTGAGGTGGTTTGACAAGGACAAAGGCTTTGGCAAGATCTTGCCACGGGCTGAGGTCCCGCAAACTCTCTCATGTCTGACCCCTTCCGCCGACGGAGCGTTAATGCGTTGTACTGGGACCAGTGCAGCAAAGGGCTGGACAGCGCTGAGGCCCCTGGAGGCTCGAGCGGGCCAGGATGCGCCGGAGGACTTCAGCATGAAAGGTATGGCCATAGGAGGTCGCGGTACCTGTTTAATCCTGTAGAGGCTGAGAGACGTGTGACAGTTAGGAGATGTAGAACACGGGATACCTCGAGCAAAGCAATCAGCACACAGTTGTCCCCAATGCCTTAGGCAAATTCATCCTTGCGAGAGCACGTGGGAGCCAATTCCGGAAGCCCGGTGCATCCAAAGCCAATGTTGTTTGCTTGTTTTCGGGGAGTGGCGGTGACTTACAGGGAACCTGCTTGTGAGAAGCATGCAACCTCTTTCGTTTCGATTGCCAAAAGTGCCTCCACAGTTCTGCCAAAGATCATGCGCTGTCTGCAATTATTTGGTTTGCCGCGGCAAGGAGGTGAGGTTTTCGTGCTCGTTGTGGATTACTTCTTGAGCCACAAGGCCAAGAGAAGGGATCTCAACGCAGACGCTGAGCTCAGGCTCAAGGCTCAGACTGTTCATTTGCTTTCCTGCTTGTTTCCTCGTCTTTGATGGGCAATGAGTCCACTGCCCCTTGCAAGATTTCATCGCGGCGGCATGATTCGCATGTCAGCCGCCGTGGCGCACACCATGCCGCCCACAAAGTTGACATGGAAGCAGCTCAGCCCAGCTCCTGATGCAGCCAAAGGGGTGCCGTGTGAAAGGAGCTCGCATGGCCTTTCGTTCGTCAGGGACGGCGCCGGGTCCAGGCTTATCCTCTATGGTGGTGAGAAGATTGCGAGGACCCCAATGGATCCTTCCCAGGCTTTGTGGGCTGCCGATGCAGGCGACGCATCATGGACATGGAGGTTCTTGGATTGTGATGGTCCAATGCCCCGACTGGCACATGCCCAGGCCTCCGTGGGTTCGGCTGTCTACATCTTTGGTGGGAGGTGCGGAACAGCCATGGACGAGCAGCCACTAAACGATCTTTGGGTCCTTGACAGCTCACCGGGGAAGGAATCCTGGTCGGAGGTTCAGCTTGGTGCGGGAGGTGATGCGCCTCCAGAGCCCAGGTCGTTCCACCGAATGATTGCCGTAGGGAGCGACCTCTACGTCTTCGGTGGTTGTGGTGCTAGCGGTCGACTGGCAGATCTGCACAAGTTCGACACTATCAGGAGAACCTGGCACAACCTTGGAACATCTTCTCTGCAAGGCCGTGGTGGGCCGAATCTCCTTCATTTGAGCGATTCCAATAGGCTTGCTGTGATTGCCGGGTTCGCCGGCCAGGAAACCAATGATGGCCACGCGTATGACCTGGGCAAGGGCACTTGGGAGACATCACTTCTGGGAGGGTTGGCAGATCTTCGCCCACGCAGCGTTGCCGTAGCGATCTCGCTTCCGGGTAGCACGGGCGCTGCCAGCGGCCTCGTCTTCGGAGGAGAAGTGAACCCATCAGATTTGGGACATGAGGGTGCAGGCGGCTTCGAAAACGATGTTGCCGTATTTGATCGCAGCGGTGGGCTCGTCACCACGATCCCGTCCTCGCCGGGTTGGCCGGAGCCGAGAGGCTGGTCTGACGGCGCTGGAGGGTCCGCAGGCGGAGCCGCCCGCTTTTTTGTCTTTGGAGGACTTGCTGGAGACGACAAGAATCCTCGAAGACTCAATGACTTGTGGCAGTGTGACGTGGAATAGGTTGAATAGATCCGTTGCGATCGACAGGAGGGGTGGTTTCACGAATGGAGACGATGAATGCTGGATATGTCTTGATGTCCATGGCCTTGAAGGCTTTCTGTGAAATTGCTCCAAAGAAGGGTGACAGTCGCTTCCATCAAAAGCCGGGTCAGGTTTCCTTGTGAATGCGCACTACAGGCCTAGTGCCCTGCATCGGTTGG